TAATATCACTTAATTTTTCTAATTCTTTTAAGGGACACTTCATTAGTAATAGTCATTGCTAATATATAATCAAATTTTTATCCATAATTAATTGATCATTAATTATGGAAATTTTGAGTTGGATATTAAAGAAGAAAATATCTAATTGAAAAAGTCTATCGATTTCAAACAGAAGAAAAAAGTAATCTTTTGAAGAAAGAAATATTTCATTCTGAAAAGTCAAAATATAATTTACAAATCCAAATGGAAGTAAAATAAATAATATTCTCCATTCTCTACCTTTATTTTCATTAAATTTACTTAATATGTAAAAAGTTTAATTTAAAAATAAATAAATAAATGATAAATAAAGATTGCATAGAATTCAATCTTATGTATACTTAAAAGAATAAAAGGAATATTATTTCAATTTATTATACAGCAACTAAATCTAGAAATCGATTAAGTTCAAAAATTAAAGCATTCAATATTATTTTTTAAGGATAAGATTGATTTGTTATATTTGGATAAAATATGATTGTATTTCAAATGATAAAGAAAATTTATTAGATTTTATGATACATAGTGAAGTTTTATTTAGCTCTAAAAAAATAATTTATAAGATCTGAATTTTTATAAATTTTTGTTAGTTAAATAAAAATGAAGGGAAATTAGACTTTTACATTAAAATTTAATAATACTCTTAGCAGAAGCAGTTTATTATTTATTAAATTTTCCAATCAGTCTTATTCTTCTTGCTTTTTAATTTTCTATGATCAAACCTTTATCATTTTTTAGGGAATAATAAATAATATTAGAATAATTTAAAGGGTTAAGATTTTGGGTTTCTAAATCTTAATTTATTATTAATGATTTTTAATTACTAAATATTTTAATAAATAAAACTAATTATGGGAAAACAAAGGTTTTCTCATTTAAACCCTCCAATTCCATTAATTATGAAGCAAAAAGTTGAATTTCATTTTCAAAAATATGAAGATCCAATTAAAATGTTAAAATTTTAAGTAATATTATTTCTCTTTAGGAGTTTTTTAACTATTTTATTCAACACTTCACTAATAATTGTTTAGCACATTATTATAATTTCCAATTTACAACTTTGATTCTCTTTTTGAAATAATTAATCGTATTTCTGCATTAGGGAGCTTAATATTTTTAGTTCAAATCCTTCTTAAATTGCTTTCCATCACAACATCTAAAATTAAAGATAAACAAAAATGGAAGTATTTCTTTTAAGATACTAAAACTGAATTTTGGCAGCTAATTACAAACCATTTCAAATTTATAGAACTGTATTCTATAATACAATTATAACTGAATTCATAAGGTATCCTGAAGCATAATCAGTTTTACTTTCAATGTAGTCTTTATTTTATTAAATCTACTTGATTCTCTATACACCTATATGATCTAATTTTGAATAAGCAAAATTACTATGTAGATAAATTATACTTTTAATCAACACAGGATCATTTTTAATTTATTCCTTAGAATTAAATGATGAATAATATTTGCTCTATGGATGGTTGCATATATCTTTGTTTTGTTTTTTAATGGGCTCTACCTTAATTATTGAAATTCTATAATAAGGATAAAAAGCCTATTATATCCATTTAAAGAAAATATAAACTTAAGAGAAAATAAATAGAGAGAGTTATTCAGAAAATCCATTATAAAAATTTGTAGAAGTAAAAAATTTAGACATGAAAAAATGAAATGAATTATTTAATAATAATTATATAAAATCTATTTAATAATTGTTATAATTTAAATGAAATATGAAAATTTATAGAAATCTAGATCTGTATTTATGATTTGATCGATATATTAATTCAAATTTGTTAAGTAAACCTATATGTTAAAAATAATCCATTGATAAAAATTTTAATTTCGTCAAATAATTCTATTCAAATCAAATACTAAAGTAAATTACTTTATTTATAATTAATATTTAACTCAAAGACCATAATTTTAGCAGAAGTTTTCAAAATTTATTCTTATTTTACATTCTTTATATAATATATCAATTCTATTTTTTATAATGTTTATCTCAATAATTTTGTTTTAATTACAAAATATGAATCAAAGATGATTAAATGTCAATATGATTATATATTTGCCATCTGAACTCATGATTTGAATATTCAAATTTAAAGTTGAAATAAGATCTTAATAATTTAATACTTATTCTACAACCATTTTCCCTTAATCAATATTCTAGAATTTAATTTAGATTTTATTCAAAATTAGATAATAAACCAGACTTATTTTAGGAAACAATCAACATAGTATTATTTATAATTTAGATTTAATTAATTTCTTATTTAAGTTCAATGATTTATATTACCTTCCATAAATTATCTTTATTTTCATCACTAATATTTCTTTTATATTCCATTTTGAAAAATTTATAATTAAAATATTTATCTTAATGGAACATTTAGAGTCTATTAGCATGGATTTTTAGTTGCCGAGATAGACCATATTTTAATTTTTTTATTAGAATCACCAGAAAAAATGAAATTTTCATTGGTTGGATGAAGAGCTATTGATAAAATTTGATCATAATTTCCTTCCAATTTTTTTGTATTTCTAACTTCCAATTAGAGTTGTTGACCAAAGTATTATTGAATTGAATGAAGTTGAAACAAAGTAAGATTTTTTGTTTAAAAAAATTAATACATTAGAAATAATACTTTAAGGTTGAAGTAACAACTATAATTTATTTATTTATCCATTTTAAAAACAAAAACAGCTGTAACAAATAGTGAATCTAATAATAAAAGAGATCCTTCTTTATTAATATCCATTCCTTAACAAATTTTATTAACTTTAATGGAGCTTTTCAAAATAAGTTAAAAATAACTGCTATTGACTCTTGCTTTTTATTATTACATTAATATAATAATAATAATTAATTTAAAATTACTGATTATCTTTTTAAAATGTTAAGGGCAAATGCTCTAAAATTATGAGATTGAACAGTGAATATATTTTTTTATATGAAAGCTTCACCAATTTTCTTTTACCATTTTTTCACTCTTTAATATTGGGATTTTGTAACTTTGATAATTTTATTTTATCTAAATGCGTATTTTAATCATTCTTTTTCATAAAATACAATTAATTGAGTTTAGATTTAAATTCTATATATTAAATAAATAATAATTAACGAAATAACTTATAAAGAAATTAATAATTTCATTTTCAAATCTTTTTCAATATTAATTTAATATCACTTAATTTTTCTAATTCTTTTAAGGGACACTTCATTAGTAATAGTCATTGCTAATATATAATCAAATTTTTATCCATAATTAATTGATCATTAATTATGGAAATTTTGAGTTGGATATTAAAGAAGAAAATATCTAATTGAAAAAGTCTATCGATTTCAAACAGAAGAAAAAAGTAATCTTTTGAAGAAAGAAATATTTCATTCTGAAAAGTCAAAATATAATTTACAAATCCAAATGGAAGTAAAATAAATAATATTCTCCATTCTCTACCTTTATTTTCATTAAATTTACTTAATATGTAAAAAGTTTAATTTAAAAATAAATAAATAAATGATAAATAAAGATTGCATAGAATTCAATCTTATGTATACTTAAAAGAATAAAAGGAATATTATTTCAATTTATTATACAGCAACTAAATCTAGAAATCGATTAAGTTCAAAAATTAAAGCATTCAATATTATTTTTTAAGGATAAGATTGATTTGTTATATTTGGATAAAATATGATTGTATTTCAAATGATAAAGAAAATTTATTAGATTTTATGATACATAGTGAAGTTTTATTTAGCTCTAAAAAAATAATTTATAAGATCTGAATTTTTATAAATTTTTGTTAGTTAAATAAAAATGAAGGGAAATTAGACTTTTACATTAAAATTTAATAATACTCTTAGCAGAAGCAGTTTATTATTTATTAAATTTTCCAATCAGTCTTATTCTTCTTGCTTTTTAATTTTCTATGATCAAACCTTTATCATTTTTTAGGGAATAATAAATAATATTAGAATAATTTAAAGGGTTAAGATTTTGGGTTTCTAAATCTTAATTTATTATTAATGATTTTTAATTACTAAATATTTTAATAAATAAAACTAATTATGGGAAAACAAAGGTTTTCTCATTTAAACCCTCCAATTCCATTAATTATGAAGCAAAAAGTTGAATTTCATTTTCAAAAATAGTTTCAGAGTACAGAATATTCAAAAGAATATCAAAATTAAGGATTGCTTTATGGATAAATTAGAGACAATAAATATATACAGTAATCGTTCATCATTTTATACTACTTCTGCTAAGTTGATAAAATTAATATTTTATTAACTTGATATAATATAAATTTCTTATATTTTATAAAATATGCTGAAAAATAATTCTAATTTATTGATTTATCTATTTAAGGAATCAGAAATTGTATTAATCAATAATCAATTACTTTTCATTTTTAAAATGATTACTTAATTATGAAATTAATGTTTGTAATTCAAAAAAATAAAAAATTGAATCTTAGATTTTTTACTTTATAATTACATTCATGGCTTTCTTAAAAGATTATTTGTATTAAATCATAATTTATATTACTTTTTTATCATGCTGTATTTCTTCAAAAATATATGAATGATTTTTAAGTTGTTTTAATAAAAATTAACTTGTAGATAACTTTTACTGTGTAAAACTAAATTGATTAAGCTTTGAAGTAGATTTATTAAGTTAAATATAAGAAAATTAATTAAAACTTTTATGACCAGAAGCATCGTTGTGAAACAATTTACTGATAAATTATCTTTGATTTATGCTTTAACTAACAGCAGCCACAAGATATTTGGTTAATTTTTTGTTTTCATATCATTCAAATAAGTATTAAATACTCTTATGGGTATAATCTTTTAATTTAATTAGTAATATAAATCAATCTGATTAGAATTTATTATTTTTTCAAAAATAATTCTAAAAAATCACCCTATAATAACTTTTATATAGAATCTAAAATACTCTTAAATGTTGTTTTATTCTTTTTTTATATAAATTAATATATACTTTATCCTTCATTTATGCATTCACTTTAGTAACAGTATCTTTCATTGTCTCAATTTTACTAAACAT